CATCTAGAAGTTCTGTAATGACACAGATTTTTTCCCTCTTTTTGGTTTGTAGTTGTCCTCATATGTCAGTTGGTGTCTCTGCTTCCCTGTTTACAATTTTGTAGGCTTATTTACTTTGGATACTTCCATAGCTGGGTTGGTTTCTGGGTTATATCATCATGTGTGTTAATGGTCAGTTGTTGTTGGCTGTTGTTGCTTCTCTGTCCAAAGGGCTTCCTTTAGCATCTCTTGTAAAGTTGGTCTGGTTTTAACAAATTCCCTTAATTTCTGCTTCTCTGGAAATGTTCTAATTTCACCATTATATTTGAGGAACAATTTTGCTGGGTACATAATTCTTGGTTGGAAATTTTTCTCTTTCAGGGTTTTGTATATACCATCCCATTGTCTTCTCTCCTGCATGGTTTCTGTTGAGAAATCTGAGCTTAGTCTTATTGGTTGCCCCTTTTCGTTTTTCCCATGCTGCTCTCATGATTCTTTCTTTGTCTTTGGTTTTGGTGAGTTTGGTGATGATATGTCTTGGTGTTTTTCTTTTGGAGTCTATCCTGTTTGGGGTTCATTGGACTTCTGGAATGGATATAGTCTCATCTTTCATCATATCAGGGAAGTTCTCCTCCAGCAAATCTTGGACAATTTTCTCAGTGGTTTTGTTTTTCTCTTCCTGTTCTGGAATTCCAATGACATGTAGGTTATTCCTTTTGATGGTATCCCACATGATCCTTAGGCTTTCTTCATTTTGTTTTGATCTTTTTTCTGATTGATCCCTTTCCAAAGAAGTATTCAGGTATGTCTTCAATCTCATTAATTCTGCCTTCCATTGCATCAATTCTGCTCCTTTGCCCTTTCAATGTGTTTCTTGTTTCTGACAATTTAGTATTAATCTTCTGGATTTCTATCTGTAGATTTAGAATCATTTCTAATTTTTCATTGATTTTGTCTTTTGTTCTTGTATTTTCTTCCAAAATTATTCTAGGGTTTTGCCTGTGTGTTCCTTGGTCTGTCTCTCAATCCTTTGAAGACCCCTAAATATACTTCTTTCGAATTCCTTATCAGGGAGTTCCAATGCTGCATCTTCCTCAGGGATGTGTTTTGGGTCTATACCCTTGTCTCTTGTTTCTCCTGCTTTATCTTGCTTCTTTGTGTGGACTATGATTCTCTGTTGTCTCCGAGGCATTGTGACGTTTTTGTGTTTATATTTAATTGGTGATTATGTGTTGGAGTGACTTTCCCATGATTTTCATTTTCTTTGTTTTGTTTGTATGTTGTCTATACAAGCAGGGTGCTGGGCTGTGCTCCTCTCTTCAATAGTTAACAGCACTTATACACTCACCACCTGTCTCCTTTCCTTTGTCAGCCTCTCATATGTCCTTGCCGACCCTGGCAAACAGAGCCTATTCTTAGGTAGGTCCCTTGAATCCAAATGAGAATGCTATCACTTTAAAATCCAAAATGGTTGCCACTTGTAAACATTAAAAATGGCCACACCCTCTGTCACTTTAAATATCCAAAATGGCTTCCACGTGTAAACAATCAAAATGGCCATGCCCTCTCGACAGCAGAAAGTCCACAGCTCAGGTTGTCTCCTTCCTTGCTGTTTCCCTTCCTAGTCATAGGCCACCAGAGCAGTTGTCCCTGTAGCCCTTGGTGACCAGGACTGATCTTTAAGTCAGTTCTTAGGTCCCAACACCACTTGGAAATATTCAGGCTGTTGGTCTCATCAGAGTAGCTGACAGTCCCAGCTCCGCCCATCACTGTACTCATTGTTTTTATTCAGGTTTTTTCACTAGTTGGTGCCTAATCCACTTCTGTATAGTTCCTTTCAAAGCCCAGGGTTCCAGGATTATCTTCTGTATCTCTGTCAATTGGTTTTTCTTTTCTTTGTTGGAGAGGGTCTTTGTCGCTTGTCTGCCTATTCCTCCATCTTACTGGAAGTCCCCACCATTGGTTCTTGATCATATGCCACTTCCTGAAATGGATGAACATTGACCAATTCTTTTTGGTAGAGTGACTCTGTGTATTCCTTCCATCTTCTTTCAATGTTTCCTGCATCATTCAATATTTTGCTCATAGAATCTTTCAATATTGCAACTTGAGGCTTGAATATTTTTCTTCAGTTCTTTCAGCTTAAGAAATGCTAAGTGTGTTATTCCCTCTGGTTTTCTAACTCCAAGTCTTTGCACATTTTATTATAATAACTGACTTTGTCTTCTTGAGCTGCTCTTTGAAATCTTCTGTTCAGCTCTTTAATTTTGTCATTTCTTCCATGTGCTTTAGCTATTCTCCATTCAATGGCAAGTTTCAGAGTCTCTTCTGACATCCATTATGGTCTTTTGTTCCTTTCCTGTCTTTTTAATGACCTCTTGCTTTCTTCATGCTGATGTTCTTTATGTCATCCCACAATTCATCTGGTTTTCAAGCATTGGTGTTCAATGCATCAAATCTATTGTTTAGATGGTTACTAAATTCAGGTGGGATATAATCAAGGTCATATGTTGGCTCTTGTGGACTGGTTTCAATTGTCTTCAGCTTCAACTTGAACTTGCATATGAGCATTTGATGGTCTGTTCCACAGTCATCTCCTGGCCTTGTTTTGGCTGAAGATATTGAGTCTCTCCATTGCCTCCTTGCACAGATGTAGTCAATTGCATTCCTGCATATTCCATCTGGTGAAGTCCATGTGTATGTTGTTGTTGTTATGTGCCATCGAGTTGGACCCGACTAATAGAGACCCTTCCTCAGGTTTCCTTGGCAGTATCACTACAGAAGTAGATTGCCCAACCTACTTTCCAAGCTGCTGCTTATGTTGTTGAAAAAGGAATTTGCAATGAATAAGTTGTTGGTCTGGCAAAATTCTATCTTGTGATCCTCAGCATCATTTCTATCACCAAGGCCATATTTTCCCACTACTAGAGATGCTTCTTTGTTTCTGATTTTTGCATTCCAATCACCAGTAATAATCAACATATCTTGGTTGCATATTTGATCAATTTCAGGCTCCAGAAGTTGGTAAAAATCTTCAGTTTCTTCTTCTTTGGCTTTGGTAGTTGGTGTATAAATTTGAATAATAGTAGTAATAACTAGTCTTCCTTGTAGGCATATGAATATTATCCTATCACTGACAGCATTGTAGTTCAGAATACATCTTGAAACAGTCTTTGATGATAAATGCTACACCATTCCTATTCAATTTGTCATTCCTGGCATAGTAGATCATATGATTGTCTGATTCAAAATGGCCAAAACCAGTCCATCTCACCTCATTAATGTGAAGGATAACAATCTTTATGCATTCCATTTCATGTCTGACAACTTCCGATTTTCCTAGATTCATACTTCATACATTTCATGTTCTGATTATTAATGGATGTTTGCAGCTGTTTCTTCCCATTTTGAGTCATGTTCCCTCAGCAAATGGAGGTCCCAAAAGCTTTACTCCATCCATGTCATTAAGGTCAGCTCTACTCTGAGGGAGCAGCTCTTCCCCAGTTGTATTTTGAGTGCCTTCCAACCTGAGGGGCCCATCTTCTGGCACTATATCACACAAAGTTTCAGGGCTATTCATAAAGTTTTCTAGTAATATATCAGACAATGTTTCACTGCTATTCATAAGGTTTTCCCTGGCCAATTCTTTGAGAAGTTGATAGTCCCTTTCTTCTTCCAAATCTATCTTTGTCTGGACTCTCCACTGAATCCTGTCCACCATGAGTGTACCTGCTGGTATTTGAAATACCAGTGGCATAGCCTCCAGCCTCACAGTAACATGCAAGCTACCATAGTATGACAAACTGACAGACGAGTGGTGGCAAAACAAGTTGTTGTTATTGTTATGTGCCATCAAGTCGGCCCTGACTCATAGCAGCCCTTCCTTGGGTTGCTGTGGCAGTATCACTATGGAAGTAGATTGCCCAGTCTTCCTTCTGTGGGCAAAACAAGTACTCATCATTATTCTCAGTGATCATCAGTATCCCTTTTTCCTGGACATACTAGAAGATTTTATCTTCTTTTCTGCTTGAAAGTAGGTATGGCCATGTGATTTGCCTTGGTCACTGATGTGTGAGAGGAAGGATTTGAATACTGTTGCACACACTGAAACACATGTTGAGATGGTTGTGTCATAGGATGGTATGACCACTATGTCAATACATCTTGTTGAGGGATGTCCTCTCTTCCATCAACCCTTCACCTTACCAAGCATGACATCCTTCTCCAGGGAATGGTCCCTTCTGACAACATGACCAAAGTAGGTGAGATGAAGTCTGGTCATTCTCTTTTTCAAGGAGCATTCTGGCTGTACTTCCTCCAGTACAGATTTGTTAGTTCTTTCAACAGTCCATGGTACTCACAGTGCCCAACTTCCACTTACATCTTTTTCTCTGATCTTATTATTATTTTTTTAAATATATGTACAAGATGTGATCAAGCTAATGGATCTTAGATCTGCAGGATACTGTAAAGATAGCAGGCCCATAGTCTTCAGTTGCAACTTATAAAACTGTGTTGTTTCATCATTTCCTTTTACATCTTTGAAATTTATGACAACTAGTATGAAAACTGTATAGGTTTGTATTTATGCAGGTATTTATATGAAGTATTTACTATTGCTCTAAAATCTTTTGGGGGTCAAGACAAGTATTGATTTGGGTGAAGGGAAGGCCAATGTACTAAAAGTGAGTGATCAACATGGTGGCACTGAGAAAGAGGAAGACACAGAGAGGTAATACAAGAGGTACTTATTTTAGAAGTTATACATACATAAAAAAAAAAAAAAGTCTTTTGGGTGTCACATCTTCCTCTGAAAATATGATAAGCCATATTGCCAAATATGCACAGCCATGGGTATACACACACACAAGCACACACACAAATTCAGGAGGTTCATAAATTCCCACTGCTATCTATGGATATCCAATCTTCAGATGTCTTTTTGTTCCAAAGTTAACAATTCTTGTTCAAAGAAGGTAATAAGAATCATATGACTCATAAAAGGACCCAAGCCATCTTACCTGCCAGGCTGAATCGGCAGAGTAGAGGGAACACCCACAGTGCCAAGATCCACATCATCCCTGAATCACCTCAGGCAGGCTGTGGAGAGGGTGAAACAGTCATCAGTAAAGAATTAGTTTGCTTCCTGTCTCTTTCAATAACTCTATTTCCAGTTACATTAAAGAGATTCTGGGATCTAGGGGAGGGAAAGAGCTCGTTTTTTTTGTTTTTGTCTGTTTGGCTATGGTCACATAAATCCCTTTACTATCACTCCTTCAATCCCAGTCAACATTTTAAAAACATACTATTACAATGAATTTTCCTTTTATCCATAATCTGCTCTAGTATGTAATATGAAGGTTGGACAATCCTACTGCCTCGGAAACCCAAGGAGGGGTCACTATGAGTCGGGGCTGACTCGACGGCAAATAGCAACAACAGCATGTAATATGAAAAGTATACCAGCTGCCAAGAATATGCTCCAGGAAAAATAGCACTTTGAGTCTGTAGAGTTGAGACCATCCTCTGGCCTCCACCTCGGTTCTCAAGCTAGTCACACAAATGGAATAACTCATAGTTTCACAAAAGAACCACGATATTTCACATCTTATCTTTGTACAGGGAGTTCCCTCTGCCAAGAATGCCCTTTTTTCCCTATTCCTGGCAAATGAATCCATCCTTCTTGATTCATCTCAGGGCTGGCCTTATCTGAGAGGATGGAGTCAACCAATCAGTCAGTTCCTTCTTTGTGCCCCTCACAACTACTTGTCAGCTGTGTTTCCACTGTAGTGCGTGTCACACAGGATGGTAAGCCTCTGTTACTTCTTTTTGAAGTCTTAGCATTTAAGGTAGTACCTGGTACATGGTGGTTATTTTCATGTGCCATCATGTTGATTTCAACCCATAGTGACCCTAAAGGACAGAAGAGAACAGTTCCATAGGTTTTCCTAGGCTGTAATCTTGACAGAAGGAGATTGCCAGATCTTTTCTCCCATGCGTGGCTGATAGGTTCAAACTTCTAACCTTTTGTGCTGCCAAGTATTTAATCGTTGTACCACCAGGGCTCCTTGGTGGATGGTAGATACTCAAGATAGTTTATAGAATGTAATTATTAATACACATATATATTTTTTTAAAAAAAGACTACTGGCTCCTCATCTCATCCCAGATGAGACTGAGGGAAAGGAGATATATTTATATAAAGTAAATTTAAAAGCAATAATTCATTTCAGGAAGAAATAAATGTTTTAACATTTTTTTAAATGCATTTTATTGAAATATAATTTATATACAGTGAAATACACAAAACTAAAGTGATATGGGTAAATGCTTTTTTTTTTTCCCAGTGTTCCCTCCCCTCCCCTCCCACCCCTGGTAACCAACAAAGAAAGTATCCTTCCATATATAAACCTTTCCTTGACTTTTTACAATAATAAACTAATACTGTATTTGTGATTGACTTCTGTGATTGACTTATTTCACTCAGTATAATGTCTTCCAAGTTCATCCTTGTTATGCAGTGTTTTGCAGATTTTATACTATTCTTTACTGTTGCATAGTATTCCATCATGTGTATGTACCATAATTTGGTTATCCATTCTTCTGTTGATGGGCACCTAGGTTGTTTCCATCTTTTGGCTATTGTAAATAGTTCTGCGATGAACATGTGTGTGCATATATCTGTTCTTATCCTGGCTCTCACTTCTTTAGGATGTTGTTGTTGTTGTTATATGCCATGAAGTCGGCCCCGACTCATAGCAACGCCTCCTTGGGTTGCCGATGCAGTATCACTATGGAAGTAGATTGCCCCATTTTCCTTCTGAGGATATATACCTAATAATGGGATTGTTGGGTCAAATGGTATTTCTAATTCTAGCTTTTTAAGGACTCGCCATACTGCTTTCCAAAGTGGATGTATCATTTGACAGTCCCACCAGCAGTGTATGAGAGTCCCAAGCTCTCCATATCCTCGCCAGCATTTGTTCTTTTCTGTCTTGAACTTTGCCATTAGTGCTGGGGTGAGATGGTATGTCACTGCTGTTTTGATTTGCATCTCTCTGATGGTTAATTATCATGAGTATTTCTTCATGTATTTGCTGGCCCCCTGAATATCCTCTTTGGTGAAGTGTCTATTCATGTCTTCTGCCCATTTTTCTATTGGACTGTTAATCTTTTTGTTGTTTAGGTGTTGGAGTTTTCTGTAAATTTTAGAGATAAGTCCCTTATCAGACATATAATTATCAACAAGTATTAATTTGTTGCTGTCATTTTGTTATGTGCTTTTTCATGGTGTTGATTTCCTTGCTCCATATAATTTTCTGTGCTGAGCTCGTTTTGTTTATGAATTGTGTTATCACTTCCTTCGTTGTTACTGTTTTAGTATTTGTTATATATATGTGCTGGTTCTCTTTTTTATTTTGATGTGGTTTAACATTTTTCTTTGAGGTTACCCTGTGATTTGTCATTTTCTTCCCAAGTTTAGAATAGCCCATTCTATCTTGCAGTTGTCTTGACTCCCCTACCATTTAGAAGTTCTATAATTACACAATTTTTTCCCTCTTTTTGGTTTGCAGTTGTCCTCATTTGTCAATTGATGTCTCAGGTTCCCTGTTTACAATCTTATAGGCTTTTTTACCTTGGATACTTCTATAACTGGGTTGGTTTCTGGGTTATGTCATCATGTGTGTTAATGGTCAGTTGTTTGCTGTTGTTGCTTCTCTGCAAAGGACTCCCTTTAGCAACTCTTGTAAGGTTGGTCTGCTCTTAAAAAATTCAATTAATTTCTGCTTATCTGGAAATGTCCTAATTTCACCATCATCTTTGAGGAACAATTTTGCTGGGTATGTAATTCTTGGTTAGAAGTTTTTCTCTTTCAGAGTTTTATATATACCATCCCATTGTCTTCTCACCTCCATGGTTTCTGCCAAGAAATCTGAGCTTAGTCTTATTGGTTGCTCCTTGTAGGTAACTTTTCATTTTTCCTATGCTGCTTTCAGGATTCTTTGTCTTTGGTTTTGGTGAATTTGATGATAATATGTCTTGGCGATTTTCTTCTGTGGTATGCTGTCTGGTGGTTAGTTCAACTTCTGGAATGGATATATTATCATCTTTCATCATATCAGGAAAATTTTCTTCCAACAAATCTTTGACAATTTTTCTTTGGTTTTATTTGACTCTTCCTGTTCTGGAATTTTGATTACATGTAGATTATTCCTTTTAGTGGTATCCCACATGAACCTTAGGCTGTCTTCATTTTGTTTTGATCTTTTTTTCTGATTGATCCCTTTCCAAAGAAGTATTGAGGTATTTGCCTTCAGTTTCATGAATTCTATCTTCCATTGAGTCAATTCTACTCCTTTGCCCATTCAGTGTGTTATCTATTTCTGAAAATTAAGCATTAATCTTCTGGATTTCTGTCTAATTTTTCATTTATTTTGTCATTTTGTTCTTGTACTGTCTTTTTAAATTGTTCTAGGATTTTCTCTGTGTTTGGCTCAATTTTGTCAGTGTTTTCCTTGATCTGTTTCTCAATTCATTGAAGGTATCTAAATATAATTCTTTTGAATTCCTTATCAGGGAGTTACAATACCATGTCTTCCTCAGGGTTGTGTTTTGTGTCTGTATCCTGGTCCCTTGTTTTTCCCGCTTTATCTAGCTTCTTTGTACGGACTGTGATGCTTTGTTGTCTCTGAGGCATTGTGATGTTTTTGTGTTTATATTTAATTGGTGATTGTATGTTGGAGTGTCTTGCATGATTTTCATTTTCTTTTTTTTTTTTTTTTTTTTTTTTTTTTTTTTTTTTGTATGGTATCTACATAAGCAGCATACCGTGCTGTGCTCCTCTCTTCACTAGTCGGCAGCACTCATACATTCACCACCTGTCTCCTTTCCCATTGTCAGCCTCCTGTGTGTCCCTGCCATTCGTGGCAAAAGGACCCTATTCTTAGGTCCCTGGGATCCAAATGATAATGCTGTTACTTCAAAATCCAAAATAGCTGTTGCTTGTAAACATTCAAAATGGTTGCAACTTTGGTCACTTTAAATATCCAAAATGGCCACTGCTTGTAAACAATCAAAATGGCTGTGCCCTCCAGACAGGCAAAAGTGCACAACTCAGGTTGTCTCTCTCCTTGCTGTTTCCCTTTCTAGTCATAGGCCACCAGCACAGTCATCCCTACAGCTCTTTGTGACCAGGCCTGATCTTTACATCAATTCTCAGGTCCCAACACCACTTGGAAATATTCAGGCTGTTGGTCCCATCAGAGTAGCTGATTGTCCACTGCTCCAACCATCTCTGTACTCACTGTTTTCATTCAGGTTTTTTGGCTAGTTGGTGCCTAATCCACTTCTGTACAGTTTCTTTCAAAGCTCAGGGCTCCAGGATTATCTTCTGTATCTCTGTCAATTGGTTTCTCTTTTCTCTGTTGAAGAGGGTCTGTGTAGCTTCTCTGCCTATTCCTCCATCTTACTGGAAGTCCTCCCTGATTCTGTATTTTTATCTGACTTCTCACAGAAAAACAAAAATAAAAGAATTCTCAACAAAATAAATCATTCTAGAAAAGCTCACATGCATAATTTCTGAGAAAAACCACAGGGGTAAAATTTTCTCATATACAAACCAATTGAAATATCTAACTAATTGAAAATGCCTCAGGTAATAAAGCAGAATGAGGACTTGGATCTACAACAAGAAAAATATCATGAAACAGTAAGAGGTTTTTTACAGAATACATAGGCCTAGAAAGTGAACAACACCAGGGAGGAATTCACTCCCTAGAACAATCAACCATATGAAAGCAAAATGGCAGCATTAGTCCGAAAACAAAGTTCAGAAGGCAGAAAGAGGCAGGACAGAAGGACAAATGGGAAAAAGAAACACTGGGAGGAAGTGGGAAGAGTGCTGTTACATTGTAGGGATTGCAATCAATGTCACAAAGCAAAATATGTATAAATTGTTGAACAGAAGACTAATTTGCTCTATAATCTTTTACCCAAACCACAATAAAAATTAAAAAAAAAAAGTTAGTTACATGATTGATAGTTACTAATGGAAGGCTGGGCAATCCTACTTCCGT